CTCTATCTTTCCAGAGGATGAGGAATTTGAAAGACCTTACATGTTGCTAAGCGTCTTGTATTCAATTTGAATGTAGCAGAGATGGGATATCTGGGACTGCCATTTTATTGTTAAAAGTGGCTAATTTGATTGAATAAAGAAAACGTAATTACCAGATATTAGGTAGAAAAGATCGCTCTGTAAAGATGAAGGGTGTCTGTTGTTTTTGACACCCCACTTAAGCCCAAATTTTATTCAAATTCCAATTTCCTTCCCCCCTCCCTCCCTCCCTCCAGCCCTCCCTCCCTCCACATTTCCAGTTCTCGCCTTCTTCTTACGCTTGATCAAGAAGTTTTTCATTCCAATTTCACTGGTCTATCTACATGCCACACCAATTTAACCCAAAAGTGCTCCTATTTCCACCATCAGTTAGTTTCACAAGGATTACAGAAAATGAATATATATTGAATATTGGAGGGAAGATATGGAAGGTGGATGTAAATTGAGGGAAATTGTGAAAAGAATGAGAAGGGCATTCTCTTGCCCTCGTCATCCTTCCTAGTGTCAATTTTGCCATTCTCACCGGATATTTCTGTCTCCAATATTTATGCAAATTCTACAGCTTCAATATCCTTGATAACCTCTTTGACGGGAGTGGCTTGAGAACTCTCATTCCACCACCTCTCCACAACGACTTTACCTCGTCCATTGAGGTGTGCGCTCAGAGTGATGCGACCAACATAGAGAAGGAAGAGAAGGAACTAAACGGAAGAACAATTGAAAGGATTAATCGATTAATGCTATTGTTTATCAGTTGATGGATAAATGAAAACTTCATTTTTGTCTTAGAAATTGTCGAATTAGGCGAACTTAAAATTGGTCAGTGTTTTTATAAATCATTCTACCACTATGCAAACTCAAAATATAAGAGACAGTTGATCACCTGATCAAATCTAGCGGTTATTCAGCTCTGTTGGGCTTATATGATGGTTTAACTTTGGACAGCCGACTGTCGTCTCCAGCCTTGCATGATTCTGTTATTTCAGTCTGGTCAACAATGTTGCAAAGTGTTTTCCATTTTCTCTTCAGTTCCTCAAGGTGTTTTGACCAGAAAACTCTATAGTGTTTAGTCTTGCTAAGGGGAATAGTTTTATTTGCACATCTCATCATAATATTGGTGATATTGTTGCACTGTTTTTCGGGATGGTTGTTGTGGATGATGGGACCTGCGTGTAGTTCTTTTCCAAAAGGTATGTGAATGTAGGCCAATCAGATTTCTTGAAGTTCCATGATAGCTTGGTTGACATTTTGATTGACATAAGTTATTTATTGACGGTAATTCTAGCAATGACGGGTTTGTGACCAAAACAAGGATTGTCAATCATTTTGTGAATGACATCAAGAAAAAGTCAGGGATTGTTCTGGTTCCATTGTAGTGAAGGCATGTAGAAGGAATAAGTTCTAGAGAGCTGGTGTTAAGCATATCTTCGATTTCCTTAGCAGCTGTGTTTTTTGTTCTTATAGCACCATCTGGTGGAATGGGTGTTGAAATCTACAAGTACTATTGTTTCGCTTTAGATTTTCAGAAAATTGAGGTTGGGTCTATTCTTGGGTGGATTATAGACCGCGTGTATCTTGAGGTGGTTTTGCCAATTCCAAACATTTGATATATTTGTTTTGTATATATCTTGGGTCTAGCCCAAACTCTTGATTATTTCGCAGTGTGATGTGAGGCCTTCTTTTGTTCCAGTCAAAATTCCACTTGCCACCTGTCGGTCTTTAGGTAGGAGATATAAGGTGTAATCTGGTGAGTTTTTCATCCGTAAAGTTGGCTTCCATGGTTGTTAACAAGTCTATACCATAGGTATTCAAAATTTTCTAGATTTGGAACATCTTGTCTTGTGACATCCCTTCACTATTCCACTGAAGATTCTCCTACTGGATTGCAGTTTCCAGCTGGTTATGACAGTTTGAAGCAAACTGCCGGGTTATAGACTTTTTTGGCATGTGAGCTTAAATTGGCCAGGGTAAACGACGTGGAGGTTAGTCAATCGCACACCCACCTCCCTCTCCCCCCCCCCCCCCAATCCAAATATACTTAAATTTATTTTTACTACTTGCTGACTTTTGGGGTGTGTGATAGACTTACCCCCACGTGGTGCACCCTGGGCAACTTATACTCATACGGCAAAAATGTCTATCAGTCGGTAGTTGACTTCTGACTTCAAACTACCATCACCCCACTGTATGTCATATTCGACTTCTTCCACCTCACCTTTTTTCTACCTTTGTTTCTACCTCTTTTACATCTTCGAAACACTCTTCTCTTCCGCCCCCCCCCCTCCGCTCTCGACTTTTTCCACTTTGATGTTCCTTTCCTTTTGTGATGCCTGAAGTCAACTAAAGGGTTGATGATAACTATCAAAACGCCTGCCATTTGATATGAATGAGTTTCTACCACTACTACACTTCATATAATTACATCCCGCTCTTGTAAGTGAAGATCAATGCCTCTCTAAACATGCCGGGATAAATTTAAATCAGTCAACTCAAGTAGAGACATCTGATGATAACTAATATAAACTAATGGCTAATGATTAGAGTGAAATTAAGCATTTTAGAAAAAGGAGTTTCTGTAAACCAACCTGCACAACAAGACCGAAGAGGGTGATCATCAAGCAGACAAATGCAGCCTTTCCTGGTTTACTCCAGTCAAGCACCGAGTAGATTGGTCGGACATTGTCGCCGGCGAAGTAGAAATAGGAGAAAGTAGAATAAATTATACCGTAGATCATTGGATATATAGCATGAAGTAAGCGAATCGGGAGTCCGTTTATGCACACATCTAAGACTACCGTAAGGCCAGGAATTGAGTGCTTTAAGCATGATCCCAAAGCTGTTAAAATCAATAAAATCCGATGATAATGATTATTGCTTAGATCTTGGATCGTGCTACTATATTTATTGTTTTATGAATGGAAATTTGTTTCTCCTAGTGAGTGTTTGAACTCCGCTTTCAAATCGGCTAAATTCAAATGAAGTTATTTTTATTTATTAATTTATTATTATTGAATTTATTCGTTTGTGGATGGGAATTTGTCATTTACACTTATTGGTTCTAGTGTCCCTAGGTAGTCAGCAAATTTCTAAAACAGTTTTGAAACCATACACTATAGTAATAATTTTAAATAGTATCTCTCATAATTAGTAGAGGACATAGTACAATGAAAAATGATTAGAGTTATACTAATAGTGGCCCTCAAGTTAGCACATATTAAATATGTCTCCTAGCAAGATTATATAGGACACGTCATCGCATGCCTGCACGCCAGGATTGGGAGGTGCGACCGTATAAATAGTGACCAATCATTAACCTCTGTTTGTTTAACCTAATCNCATCCTGATCATGATTAAGCTTCCTGCGTGTACACTTTATCCGCAATACTCGAACTGAATAAACGTGCTCCGTGCTACACGTCTGTTTCCTTCATAACTGGGCTATAGCTTAGCTGGTTCTGGGAGTCTAGCTAGATGTTGGAGAATCTGCCACAGAGATTTCTAAGTCAGTCAGGCTTTACTAAGGTAGCAGTCCCCCACAATTACGATTTAAATGCAAAAAAGCTTACAAAGATGCATCATTCAATGTTTCAATTGCGAAAATTACCTTCAATGTCATAACCCATTCCTTCAAGTTAAATTTTCAATTTTTTCGTGAATTAAAACACGTTTCATTTGTGCATAAATGCTTAAACAAAACAGGTCATTATTTATGTGACAGTCTGCTCTACTTGCAATCCCCTTTACATTTTGCAACAAAAAATTTTTGAATTTGGTCATCTTCCTAGAGAATGTCATAAACTAATTCAAATTTTTATGAAATAAAATTGTATATGAATGATTTTTTTATTAATTAGTCGTTTATTTACTTGCTTCAGATATTGTTTTTATGTCATTTTAAATACTTGAATCATGATTCTCGATTTTTCTATAGTTTTATATTGATTCAAATACTATTAGAATTAACGTAGATATATATGAATGGCTACTTCAATGATAAAATCATTCTCCTTAAAACCAATAAGAGCATTATTAGGAAACTACGATCGAATATTCACTTTCATATGCCAGCTGCAACTCCTGAAAATAGGATAATATGACGAAATTCTTCGTTAAAATTCAAAGAACTTTCTTCTAACATGATAAAGGTAATGTAATAAGGTAGTATTTAATTTTCAAAAATGTTCAAAGTGTAACAATTTTAATAAGATAATTAAGTTTGACGTTATTTTAAACACATAAAATGTCACAGTTAAGCTAGGTATGAGTTAGACTATTTTGGATGACACTTAAATGCTAAAATTCATACAAATTAAAAAGACAATAATTAGTGATCATCGAGAAAATGGATTCAGGAAAATCGTTTCAAAATGAATAACTTAAAATATCAATATGCAATTTACGCTTTCTTAAACTTATTTTTATGTCTGGTTTTAAAAAAATATAATTTTGACTTTAAGTTTTAGTTTCTTTTGATAACTTCTCGGTTTACTGAAATTTATTCTTAATTTTTTAAAAATTGGCCTTTTTCTTGACAGCATTGTAGGTTTAAGCTCTGTGAACTGGAGTGCCTAATAATAGTCAATGCTGTGATATTTTAGGCAAAATCGATTTCATTCATTTGATAGTTAGACAAAAAACTTACGTTTTCCTGGTTCCCATAATATCGCCCAGTATAGAAGATTTGTGACCAAGACTGCGTTCGTCGAAATGACGTAAAATAACCAGATAATTTTACCTGACAATCTTGAAACCTTTGCATCTAAAATTTTTATCATACAATATTTTCTGAGGCCATTTTATTTCAAAGGAGCTAAAAATTAAGAAGAAGGATTCAAAATATGGGTCACTGGAATAGATTTTGATCAGTGACTTTACTCTTACCTCTATGTAAAATTAAAAATGTAGAACTTAAAAATAGTATTTCAACATAAAAATAATGATCCTGTCAGTTTTATTTCATCTTTTTTATCTTTAATAAAAAATAAATCATAATAATAATACTATTTTTGATAACGTTAATTCAATAACAATATAATTATTGCTTACTATTGACAATATAATTACTTGAAATTGGATAAGATTTTGTTGAATAGTTTATTAAAAATTTGTGTAATATTTCCAGTGAAAATATTTTCTAAGTTACAATGTCAATTGTATAAATGGAGGTAATTCAGCGTTCAAACATAATTTGTAACTTTAAATAATGCGATGTTCCACACTAACAAGGCTAACCATGACAATCTCCTGTACAATAGAATTTTGTGGAAAGTGAGACCCGAATTGAGAGGGTGTAGTCATGCACACAACGGCTATATTAGCATTTAAAATTCACTCAAAATGTCATTTGCAATATTAATTCAATGATCAAAAATATCACTTGCGTTTTATTCAAAATGTGTAAATCAAGATTGAGCGTACTTCCATAATGCGGATATGTAAATTGACTTTTTATAAAATCAAGAAAAGAGATTATTAATTTAAACACAAATAGATTCACCTTTCTTGCAGTTGTAAAATGTGCAGAATATTGCGAAGGCATTGGAGCTCAATGTGTATAGGAGGAATGACCAATTCGTGACATAAAGGAAGTAATTATACTTTGTATAGTCATCTGTGTTTTGCGCAAATCTCAGTGGAATCTCCACGCAAGCCCAAGCTAATAGCCCGATGGCAATGATAAATCGGTAAATTGGATAGAGGTGAGTATCCAACCGCATCCACTAAAGTTAAAAGAAACTTAAATAAACAAAAAACTAATTCAAATCCTGATTTCCAAAGAACAGGCTACTGTAGTTGAATGCTCCCATTGTAGATTGACTTAGTAGTTCATGTTGAAATAATCAATAGGGACTTCTAGCACCCAGCTTTCCTTGGCGTAAGTCGAACAAAAGATAAGGTTGGTTGAAAGCCACAAAGTAGAATGCCCTCCTCAAAGATAAATTTTTATTCAAACTAGACAAGTAGTGTAGAATCACGTACCTCGAATTGCATGAACCTTGTCTCTCATCCCTTTCTCAACATTTTAACAATACACCTATTTAATTAAACCTCTTTCATTGTTTTATTGGACTCTTCTAACAAATTGCAGACGTTTTGATAGTTATCATTGGCCCTTTAGTTGACTTCGGGCTTCACAGAAGTGAAAGAACATCAAAGTGAAAAAAAGTCGAGAGGGGGGGGGTACAGAAGAGTGTTTCAAAGACGAAGGTAGAAAATGTAGAAAAAAAGGTGAAGTGAGTACTGTGAAAGTAGTCGAATATGACATACAGTGTGGTGATGGTAGTGAGTATACGTTGCCCAGGGTGCACCACGAGGAGGTAAGTCTATCGCACACTCCTGTTTAATGGACTCTGTCTTTATAAATATGCTCAAATAAAAACTTCAAATTAATTTTTATTTCAAACAAATAATTTGGGTAAATAAAATATCCTGCACCTTAGTTGCCATTTTATAAAATTGGTATGCGAGAGTAAAGCATACAATGAATAATAATTACAAGAAATGTTTGCATTCCTTTACTAGATCTGTTCAATACTTGAATATCAATCAAATTTGCTTGAAATAAAAGCCAAGTGTCATTCTAAGTTATCTGCAGTAAGTTTGAACACTCAGCATGCAAATCGATAATTGTATAAAAAATGAGTTTTAAAACCTACTTGAGAAAATGGGAAGAGTTCATAGTTAGCCCCACTGAATCCCAGATTTTGGCGCTTAAATTCGCCTTTAAAGGCCTTTCCCAAGGTTTGGCAACAGGTTCTTCGTAGTGCTGCTTTGTCCTCCATCACGCGATTACTTCACCTCAAGGTTTTCGATTTGTGCTGGAATATAAAGACGTCTAACTCATCCCAGCCACTGAAAGTGTCGTTTGGCCTTATTACATTCTAATCCAATCACATGTCGACTCAAATCTGAATGTGGTAATTGCTGTTCAATCACATTATAACACTGCTCTTTCATATGATAGATAACTTTATAGAGTGAGCCATAACAGAATTTAATATTTGGTGATATTTTTTACTTTCTGATACTTTGATAAACCTTCCCTCTGTGAAGCCCGAAGTCAGCTAAGTGGCTAATGATATCTATCAAAACGCCTGCCATTTGAAATAAATAAATAAATAAATCATATTTTTCCTATTTTTGTTCATTTAAATTAAGGCTTTGCAGGCATGGTTACACGATTTAAGTATATAGTAAGGGGTTATTGATCTAACCGTCTAAAATTTAAAATGTGTCTTCAACATGGACTCGTCACTGAAGAATTTCAATTCAAAATGAAAGTGGCGAAATTTTTAGCAACAATTTGATAATATTCTTTCTTAAAGCCTTTTTTTGTGGCTTCATACTCAAACGAATTATTAAAATGGCGATAAAATTGTATGCATCTTGTGATTGAAATAGATATCTACTATGATGGCAACTCATTCGTGAATGTTGGCTACAAGGATTTCCACTGAGATGTGTGTTTTCTAACCCGTTTCTACTTGTCCAATCTAACTGCTCAAGTCTGTAAGTCTGAGGTGATCCACCATTCAATCAATTAATTGGACAACAATATTTGATTTGGCAAATCTGAGCTGAACTAAACATTATGGGTTTTGATCATGAAATTAAATTTAAAACAAATGAGGCAACGCAAAGCGAATTTCACAACCCATGAAAAAAATAACTGAAAAACTAACCCTAACACTGAACTTTTTGGTTAAATGCGCAGTCGCTATTCCATCTTATATTGCATCATATCAAATCGTGAAAATAGCCAAATAGTGTGCTCTAATTATTAGTTACATGCGGATTAATTGCCTGTTATAGTAAATAAAGATAGATAGATATAAGCTTAATTGGTATAAATATTGGCACATCTTTTCATTACGAATTTGCGCCTTTTGTGAAATGACTATACGGATGTACCACTGTTCGTCTATTGTCCATCATCATTTTATACTCTTTTAGTTGCAAGGGCTAAACATCTCCTCTTTACAGTTTTTTAATTATGGAAATAGATGAATAGCAATTAAACTAAAATTGAACCAAATTTATTTTATGCACATTGCTACATGTCTAGACATTTATTTATTTATTTATTTCAAATGGCAGGCGTTTTGATATTTATCATTAGCCCTTTAGCTGACTTCGGACTTCACAGGGGGGAGGAACATCAAAGTAACGGAAAATCGAGGGGTGGGGAACAGAAGAGTGATTTAAAGATGTAAAGAGACAGACATGAAGGCAGAGAAAAGGTAGGATGAGTACTGTGCCAGAAGTCAATCGCCAGTTAATAGACTTTTTTGCCGTATGAGTATACGTTGCCCAGGGTGCACCACGTGGAGGTAAGTCTATCACGCACCCCACATGTCTAGACATAAAACAGTTGATTTCATAGACTCTTTTGACGATATTGTTTTACTATAAGAGAAGTCATGCCTGTATCTCACTCGAGACAGAAAATTTCCATAGAAGTTCAACATGTCTACCTATTTCACCACTGTGAATGCTTTCCATTATCGTTGGCCTCATCATTTAACCCATTCAAAAGTGAGCAGTGATTTTGTTTTTCAACTATCAACCCTTCAGACAATTCTTTTCATTATTCTCCACATTTTTTGAAATGTGCGATTATCTTAAGAGAGGTCTAGAAGTCATTAGAGCGCAGTAATTTGTTGGCAAGGCAAGTTATAACCCCATTAGTGGTTGTCAGTCAATCTACCTATATCTCAGTAAAACATTCATCATTACAATTTAGTTAGTAATGATAAGCATGGATTTGCATAATTCAATCGGTTTGTTATAGATTTACTCTATATATATATATATATATATTTAAGGCCATAACTATTACAAGAGTATGAAATGTTGGTTCACAAGAATTTGGATTCTTCATTCTGCACCGCGTACTTCGGGGAAATCTGTGGTGTAGGAGAAGTTGTTAAGAAGCCATCGGGCCCGAATTAAGTAAATTATTGCATCTGGGTAGAATGAAGTGACGCAAAAGATAGAAATAGGGCCAAATTGATTTTCGATAAGGAAATCGATATTTAGTAGGTAGAAAGCTGGAATAAATTAATTAACGAATTTAGGCATTGTGAATATTTGGGGCCCTGCGAAAATGTCGAATTTAATAATATGCACTGGTTATTCTCGAAATACTTTGGAAAATAAAGAGTTTTATCTACCGATGGTCTATTATTCAATCGCTATTGCAATTATTACTATGCCTCACTGAAACTGCTATAATCTAATCATTAAAAAACAGAAAGTTAGTACCCTAGACTATGTTCAACTAAAAGCATAGTGACCCCGGCACTGTCGTCACATTGCCTTGAATACGTCTAGAAAGAGCTAATCAATCATCAATTTTTGACCTTTCAGTCTAAATCCAAATTTGTGCTTAAACCCAGACTGAGGTTACTATGTGCACGCACATAGCTTTCAGTGAGTGCGTGACCAAAGACTGAAGAGGTCACATGTCACTGTTGAGCTATTCCACACTTTTTGGCTTAGTATATCAATGGTTAATCTCAAATTTTATACCTCTTGGAGAAGGATTGACGTTGAGCCTCTGTTTCAACTTTATTTCACGCTCAACATCAATAAAATTAAAAAATAAAAGGAATGGAGGGAATTTATACATTTCTTAACATTACACTTGGAGTAAAGTTCTACTGAAAAGTCCAATCATAATTTAAATGTTCAAGCTCGGGGGGTGAAAGATGATTCACCATTTAAAAGAGAGCATTTCATTAGTGAAAATGAGGATCCTATAACCAGCTATAAAAAAATATCCCCATTTCAGAAGAAAGAATTGATCGTCTTTAGTATTGGTCGATTTTACGAGTAAAAAATCGATGGGGAATATCATTGGACCACCCACATAAAATTGCTACTATATTCTAACCTCAGTTTTAAACTTTCATTGACCGAGGACTGTCAATAGGATTCGACTTTGAATAAAACCTGGCCTTTCAGTATACTTCATTTTTTGCTTGAATATTTATAGTTAACCTTCTAATGAGTGCATGCACAAACATACACTGGCAATAATTAAATTTTTGAACTTAATTTTAAACCTCATGTGAACTCTTAAACCTTTTGTCGCGCTTATAATAGATATGCAGGAGCCTTCAAAATTCCTCAAATTTGGGAAAAAGAAGTTCACTCACCTCCTTTTCTCACGATACCTCCTCCCATCTCATCCACTAATTAACCTCTCTTTTTCTCTTATTCACAATCAACTTTCACTCATCTTGTATTGGCAATTAAGCAGAGCATAAAGTATTACTACAAAAGCAAATTGCACTCACAATCTGCCTCAAATTTCCTCCTTGCCGCTTGTATACTACTTATAAATTTAAGTAGCAACTTTATTTCATAATGCCACTAGTAAAGTCCTTGCGACCAAGGAATACGGTTTTCAGGTAATAGAAACGAGATTAATAGAAAGTCTATGGACTAATAAACGCTGAAACCGATTATTTTAATTAAACATTATTTTGGTAATTAACGCTGGGAAAATATTGCGGTGTTGAAAATTGAAATCGGTGACACTATTTTAATAAAGGCAGTGCAATGAGGAGTTGGAAATTTTATTTTGTTGCACGAAATAGAATAGCGAAAACAACTTTAAACAATTGAAGACCAATCGATTCAAACTTAAGAGTAGAAAGTAAGGAACAAGACTTGATTTGTCCTCAGTTATCTCAATTACAAAGTAGACTAGTGTGGACAGGCTCTCGAATTCAGCTAAGCTACCTTCACGATGCAGAGGAAGCAAACGAGAAGCATTTATTTGGGATGTGAGTCACCAATACGGAGCTATGTCATCGCATAAAACGTTTGGCTCCTTGACTATTGTTTGCTGAATGACTGAGAGATCTTGAATCTTTCGAGCGCACATTCTCTCTAAAGCATTCAACATGAAACTGCACTTGACGGCTTCTGAATCAGTAATTCACCGCCCGTTCCAAAATATTCTAGCACGTATGTGTTCTCTCGGTTCAGCCAAGCAATCGTGTTGTTCCCCATGAGAGCATTAGAGCTTTTGACAAAAGTTCCACAATGCAGTAAATACAAAGTTTGGTCAATCAAATTAATAAACTAAAGGTTAGTATTTCAGCTTCGATTTACTTAAACGCAGATTGAAAATGCAGACTTATGTTCTCTGTGAGCGCATACAGAATTCTCAGCATCGTACTCGTTGAACCCTGAAATTTGAAGTCATTGAGTTTTCATTCGAAATCTAGTCAAACGTAAGGTATTCTAGTGTTCCATCTGCCATAATTACTTTCCAGTATACAGTGGACTCAGACTCAGATCAGTAGAGATAAACAAGAGCGAAGTTCATTACCAACCGTGGCACAATCAAATCAACATAAGTATTCATGAAAACAAATTGTCGTTAGTTTAGTGACATCAAACGCACGACATTGCCCCAGTGATAACAGCTTTGTCACGAATAACTGTCAAGCTGTCAGAAAAGTGTCCACAAAGTGATGAAAATAACTCAGCCTGGGGCAAATTCCCTACACTTTGACCCCATTGCCAGCCTCCCATTGAGAACCACAAGTTATTTGGGAGGAGACTTGCAACCTTTCTGGACCAATCTGAAGTGCACGTTGCATGCGTAATTGATCTATGGAGAAGAACCGAAATGGTATCCCTCAAGTTGCATAAACATCAATCCCAATTATTCGAGTTGAAGTTGGGCTGACTGCTAGTAACACTTGTAACATTTATACTTCTAGATCCTTGTTTTCATCTATGACACGTCGTTTAGGCTTTGTACCGTTTTATTTTTACCACGCCTTGGATGCAATTAATGGAGATTTAATTGAAGCACACTAAATTGACGGATTTATTACCTTCACTATATTATCCAGGCTGACATAAAATACACCCTATATCGTAGCTAAACCCCAATCAAAGTGATCCACTTTCAGCATGTAGTTTGATGGTGGAAGTCAACTTATTTGTGATTGGCCACGAAGTTGTTTTGGCATTTCAAGGTCAACGCAACAGGTATCTGACATGAAACGGTGGGCGGAGCCTATTTCACACATAGGTTCCCGCAAGGCAAACAAAGTCTGAGTACAGAGAAACTCACAAGAACCTGAAATTGGTCCTAGATATTGACCAAGTGTAATTCAAAATGTAAATTGACTTATGATCGGATCTGGCTGTGTTTTATTTGGTTTCGAAACGGTGAATCCTAATAAACCACTCCTGGGACAAATTTGAGCTGGATCGATCTAACAGAGAAGTGATTTTGTCCAAATTGGCATTAAACAAATGGTTAACATGCCATCAATATTCCTTTCCTGGAGTGTGCGATAGACTTACCTCCACGTGGTGCAACCTGGGCAACGTATATTCATACGACAAAAAAGTCTATTGACTGGGAGTTGACTTCTCACTTCAAACTACCATCACCTCACTCTATGCCATATTCGACTATTTTCACAGTTCTCACCTCACCTTTGTTCTACCTTTGTGTTTGTCTCTTACATCTTTGAAACACTCTTCTGTTCCCTCCTCTCGACTTTTTTCAATTTGATGTTTCTTCCCCTCTGTGAAGCCTGAAGTCAACTTAAGGGCTAATGATAACCATCAAGACGCCTGCCATTTGATGTAAATAAATATTCCTATCCTACGTCAAATCTCTCAGCACTATTGCTTAATGGAAAATTAGTCTTTAAGTAGTCTTGCTAATGGGTTGATTGGCATGAGGAATTGAATTAATGCGATTAAAAGGATTTTGACAATAAACCCCTTATCGTAGTTAAGTAAAAACACATAAGTGAATAGCCGGATGATAAAAAGAAGATAATTTTTTAGAAAGTGGAGACACTTCAACGTAACTCGAGTATATATATATATATATATATATATATATATTAATGGCAAAATGATGATTTATTCTTTAAAATTTCGGGTGTCATTGAGCATTGAATAAAGTGAGCAAAATACTGTTGAAAGTTCAAAATCAGATAATAGCCATAACAAAGTGGCTGAATTATAGACAGCCGAGCATATTATTAACGACTAAATTACTATGCTTAAGGATTTACTGGGATATAGCCATATCGATTGACAGCGACAACCCTACGTACTCATGTTCAAAATTGGAAATTTATATTTATTTCAAATGGCAGGCATTTTGATAGTTATCATTAGCCCATTAGTTGACTTAGGGCTTCACAGAGGGAAGGTTCATCAAAGTGGTGCACCCTGGACAACTATATTCATACGACAAAAAGTCTATTAGCTGGCATTTTTCTTCTGACATCACTGTATTTCACATTCGACCACTTCAACAGTACTCATCTTACCTTTCCTCTGCATTTGTGTCTGTCTGCCTGTCTGTCTGTCTGTCTCTTTTACATCTGTGAATCACTCTTCTATCCCTCCTCTCGAATTTTTCTCACTTTGGGGTTACTCCACTCCATGAAGTCTGATGACGGCTAAAGGGCTAATGATAACTATCATGACGCCTGCCTTTTGAAATTTGAGGCAGATTGGCAGTGCAAGAATTGATAATTGACGTTTATTTCAATGCCCTATATAATTGCCAATGAATGATGAGTGAAATTGGATTGTGATTATGAGAGTGCAAGAGGTTCATTAGTAGGTGAGGTGAGAGGAGGTATTGTGGGGGAACCGGGTGAGTGATTTTATTAACCTCAAATTTGAAGAATTTTGTAGTCTTCTCATAGCATATTATAAGCATAGCATTTTGTTTGTAAATGTTTTTCAAAAAAAATTTACCGGTTCACATGAGGTTTATAGTGGAGTTTAAAAATTGAATTGTGGNACGTTAGCAATTAAAAGTGAGGGGTCCAATGGTGGAGTACCAGTAAAAATCGATAAATTCTAACTACAACCATTTATCTTTTGGAAAAGGGGTTATTTTATATTTTTGTAAAACTATGGGAAATAGTGACAGCGAAAAAATTACATTAAATTTGAGTAAAAATAGTGGTATTCATGGCACATTTGACTTCGTCACTGATGCTTACAAATCGATTTTTTCATGCGAAGTTAGGACATTTAAAGTACAAATATGAGGTTTACGTGTAATCATATGCAGAGAATATTCAGTTCAAAAGAAAGGTGTCATTGGAATGATATCTAGTACAATTGAGTACCAATACATCGACACAAACAAACAATTGACGAAAACAAATAGAAATGGTTGCTTTACAGTTGCATGGGGAGAAGAATTCCGGAAAATTCTTACCACTTGGCACTTCCCTACATTTAAAAGTGATTAAAATCGCGTACATTTTCAGGTAGTTTCCGAACCTGATTTTATGCATTCAACGTCTTAACTTTAGCCAAATTCGTTTCACCTAAAAACCATTTCCTATGGCCATATCTTAATAAAAACGTTTTCCTAGCAAGATTTGGTTGCGATAACACTTTATCAACTTTACAAGTAAAAATCGATAAGAATAATCAATACACCGCCAATTTAAAATTACTACGCTGTTCCAACTCCAGTTCCAACCTTTCATGAGCCGAGAACAGTAAATAGGAGTCGACTTAGAATAAGACTAATACCAGACGCATCCAAAAGAGCCCCCAAAACTATTTCGAAATTATTGGTGACTGGCATGGCTGTTCAGTTCACTTTCTTATTTGTAGTATAAACATTAACTGGCCACAATTCAATTTTAAACCCAGCTTTAAACTACATGTGAACCATTAACTCTTCCCTTTTGAGGCGAAGAAGCCACCTCACCTGGTTTCCACTCGAAGCCTCCTCTCATCTCACCCACCAAGGAACAAATTCACTTCTACCTTTAATATTAAAACCCACAACGTATTGAATTAATAATCATTTATTATAAAGTGAAAGTTGTCAGAACTGGTGACAGAAAAGTACATTTAGGAATGAACTTGAATGGAACAACATTTTCGAACATCATCTCAACATATCAAAAGATTCTTTCTTAATTTAACATAGTTAATTCCGGTTGTTCAATACTTCCTTCCTGAATACCTCACTGCTTCACATTCCACAGCGATTTCATCGGACACGTTATGCACTGAGGTCGGTCATACCACTTCAGTTCATCTCTATCTTTCCAGAGGATGAGGAATTTGAAAGACCTTACATGTTGCTAAGCGTCTTGTATTCAATTTGAATGTAGCAGAGATGGGATATCTGGGACTGCCATTTTATTGTTAAAAGTGGCTAATTTGATTGAATAAAGAAAACGTAATTACCAGATATTAGGTAGAAAAGATCGCTCTGTAAAGATGAAGGGTGTCTGTTGTTTTTGACACCCCACTTAAGCCCAAATTTTATTCAAATTCCAATTTCCTTCCCCCCTCCCTCCCTCCCTCCAGCCCTCCCTCCCTCCACATTTCCAGTTCTCGCCTTCTTCTTACGCTTGATCAAGAAGTTTTTCATTCCAATTTCACTGGTCTATCTACATGCCACACCAATTTAACCCAAAAGTGCTCCTATTTCCACCATCAGTTAGTTTCACAAGGATTACAGAAAATGAATATATATTGAATATTGGAGGGAAGATATGGAAGGTGGATGTAAATTGAGGGAAATTGTGAAAAGAATGAGAAGGGCATTCTCTTGCCCTCGTCATCCTTCCTAGTGTCAATTTTGCCATTCTCACCGGATATTTCTGTCTCCAATATTTATGCAAATTCTACAGCTTCAATATCCTTGATAACCTCTTTGACGGGAGTGGCTTGAGAACTCTCATTCCACCACCTCTCCACAACGACTTTACCTCGTCCATTGAGGTGTGCGCTCAGAGTGATGCGACCAACATAGAGAAGGAAGAGAAGGAACTAAACGGAAGAACAATTGAAAGGATTAATCGATTAATGCTATTGTTTATCAGTTGATGGATAAATGAAAACTTCATTTTTGTCTTAGAAATTGTCGAATTAGGCGAACTTAAAATTGGTCAGTGTTTTTATAAATCATTCTACCACTATGCAAACTCAAAATATAAGAGACAGTTGATCACCTGATCAAATCTAGCGGTTATTCAGCTCTGTTGGGCTTATATGATGGTTTAACTTTGGACAGCCGACTGTCGTCTCCAGCCTTGCATGATTCTGTTATTTCAGTCTGGTCAACAATGTTGCAAAGTGTTTTCCATTTTCTCTTCAGTTCCTCAAGGTGTTTTGACCAGAAAACTCTATAGTGTTTAGTCTTGCTAAGGGGAATAGTTTTATTTGCACATCTCATCATAATATTGGTGATATTGTTGCACTGTTTTTCGGGATGGTTGTTGTGGATGATGGGACCTGCGTGTAGTTCTTTTCCAAAAGGTATGTGAATGTAGGCCAATCAGATTTCTTGAAGTTCCATGATAGCTTGGTTGACATTTTGATTGACATAAGTTATTTATTGACGGTAATTCTAGCAATGACGGGTTTGTGACCAAAACAAGGATTGTCAATCATTTTGTGAATGACATCAAGAAAAAGTCAGGGATTGTTCTGGTTCCATTGTAGTGAAGGCATGTAGAAGGAATAAGTTCTAGAGAGCTGGTGTTAAGCATATCTTCGATTTCCTTAGCAGCTGTGTTTTTTGTTCTTATAGCACCATCTGGTGGAATGGGTGTTGAAATCTACAAGTACTATTGTTTCGCTTTAGATTTTCAGAAAATTGAGGTTGGGTCTATTCTTGGGTGGATTATAGACCGCGTGTATCTTGAGGTGGTTTTGCCAATTCCAAACATTTGATATATTTGTTTTGTATATATCTTGGGTCTAGCCCAAACTCTTGATTATTTCGCAGTGTGATGTGAGGCCTTCTTTTGTTCCAGTCAAAATTCCACTTGCCACCTGTCGGTCTTTAGGTAGGAGATATAAGGTGTAATCTGGTGAGTTTTTCATCCGTAAAGTTGGCTTCCATGGTTGTTAACAAGTCTATACCATAGGTATTCAAAATTTTCTAGATTTGGAACATCTTGTCTTGTGACATCCCTTCACTATTCCACTGAAGATTCTCCTACTGGATTGCAGTTTCCAGCTGGTTATGACAGTTTGAAGCAAACTGCCGGGTTATAGACTTTTTTGGCATGTGAGCTTAAATTGGCCAGGGTAAACGACGTGGAGGTTAGTCAATCGCACACCCACCTCCCTCTCCACCCCCCCCCCCA